TGTGTACATAATTTCGCTCCACCACATGTACCACATGAGGTGCGAATGACAATAAAGAAACTCTGACTCTGACTCTGACTCTGACTCTGACATATACTGTAGATACATATTTCTTTCTCCTTCAGCTGCTCCCTTCCTCAGGGGGTTGCTACAGTGAACTAACTCACACAAACACTTGGCAGTTATTTTTATGCCGGATGCCCTGACACAACCACAGACCTCTGTGTGGAGCAGGGAGCTGCCGTCTAGGGCACCTGGGGGAGTGGATGGTGGGGGTTGGGGGCCTTGCTCGGGGGCCCAGGGTGGGGCGGGTTAAGGTGGAGGCAGGTGTGGGTGCTTCACCTTTCTCACCCACATTGTGATGTTGTTGGTATGAGGAGTTGAACCGTCGACCTTCTGATCACAGGCCCACCTTCTCTAGCCTCTGTGCCACCCCCCCCCCCCATATGTACATATGCATATGAGTACATGTGTATGGGTGTGTGAACTGAACATTCCTATCATTTGATAAAATTATGCTTTCAATTGCTTAAAAGTGTAGTTTCCTCAAATGCTTGGCCCTTGGTTGGTTCATGTTTGGTGACCAAGTCCATCATTAGGCACCTCCTGGCTCCACCATTGTGCCTGATGGGGGATAAAATGGCTCTCTCAGGATCTGTCACTTTGTGTTGTCTCAGAGGAGCAAAAATAAAAAAAATTACACAGTGTAACTCTTGCCCTCTTGAATTTCTTGCATCAAAAACATTAAAACTTACTTACATTTCCTGTTCACTTCTGGTCGAGAAAAACACTCATCTCAAAAGCTACAAACATTCACTATTCAACTCCATCAGTGATGGGGGACATCGAAGCTTGTTATATTTAAAACCTCTTTAAGTTTGCTGGGCAACAAGTGTTTTATAGTATGTAATCTGATAAACATACTTTTCCAAATATTATTTTCCAAAGCGCCTGAAAAACATTTATTCCAATATAATAAGAAATATTTGATAATAAAGAGGAAAACTGACTTGGATCAAACTGAACAAACGTGTTTTTCTTTCTGCCAGGCCAGCCTTGGGGGGACTCCTGTCCTCGTCTTACCGACAGCATCAGGAGTCTCTGGCTGCGGAGCGAGAGCGCCGCCGCGTGGAGCGAGAGGAGAGACTGCTGCGGATAGAGAGACAGGAGAGGAACAAGCACAGGTGGGACCGGCTTTGGTGTGGGAGAGGAACCTTACACAGGTTTATTTTTTAAACACATTCAAAAATTTAAAGTAGAACAATTTTTAAGTAGAGAAAAACTGTAAGACCAAGACAAACTCTAAAAAAAATTATTAAAACCATAGTAGTTTTGCAGGATCCCTGCTGGCTTCTGGCAATCCCAAGCTTTGAAATGCAACATGCAAATATCAGCAAGTTGTTATGAATATACAGCTTCTTTTCTGATCCAACAAAAAAAAACCCTATTCATAAGTAATTTTGTTTGTATTTCTGTGCAGAATATGTGTTAAATGGTTCTAAATGTAATTCAGTGCAGCGTGGTTTCTTTTCAAACCGCCAGTTCACAACAAGAGTAATAACAGAAATTAAACAACATTAAAGTGTCCTTTGCAACCTTAGATACAATCTCGTTTAGTAACGTCAGAGCAGCCATATTCAGTATATTAACTATTATAAACTCAATTTTCTAAATTTTAGTAAAGAATAAGAAAACTAATGCAACTCAGTCTACGCTGTTGCAACTTCCATTGATAAAATACACAGTCATCTGCCTGGTTAGCAGATCATACACATATTATTAGAAGGCAAGCACACCTTGTTCATTATTATTATTATTATTAATAATGTAGATATATGAAGGCAGCAGACCAAGAAGAGATTTAAAGATGAAAATGTACCAGTGAGAGAGTCTGAAAATGTGAGCAGGATGGGCAGTAATCTGCCTCAACAGCTGGGGTTTGAGAGAACGGGAAAAGGGAACGAGACAGCCTGAAAGACTTGTCCAGGTGTGGTTTCTATAGGAAGACTACCAGGGAAAAGCGCGGTAATTATAGAAATTATTACAAATACAAACATGAACAGCAGGAAGTAAAGACAGCCGCAAAGTGAGACAGTCAGTTTGTCCTCCAACAGTCTATAGCAGCAGAACAACGGGAATAGGTCAGGAAACCCAAGCCAACCCTAGCTATAGGATTTATCAAAATGCAAAGTTTTAAGCCTAATCTTAAAAGTAGACAGAGTATCAGCCTCACGGACAGAAACTTATAAAGGTGGAGCCTGATAACGGAGAGCTCTGCCTCCTATTCTATTAGAAACTCTAGGAACCACAAGTAAACCAACAGTCTGGAGGCAAAGTGCTCCATAAAGAAAATATGGAACAATAAGATTAAATGAAGCTTGGTTGGTGAGAGCTTTGTACTTTAGACGTAATGCGCCTCACCATTAGACAGTGGAGAGACGCTAACGTGCCACAGAGGTTCACTTTCTTCGGTCCTGCTGCAGAAAGCAGATTCAGACGTTACACCAGTTCTAAAACTGCCTGCATGCACGATTTGCCAACATGTTTTATTCACCCTGTTAGGTCTTCAGGAGACTGTAGTGGAAGAGGTTAAGATTATCTTTGAAATCTCCCTGTGTGCGTGTCTCCCACAGCCGCGACTATGTGGATAAAATGGAGGAGGCCAGGCTCGCTCGGGAGGAGAGGTAAGCGCGCATTAAATTGAAACAACACAAATCTGCTGAAAACCCTCAGGGGAGCTCTCTGAGCTGCTTGCTTTGGGAAGTTTGGTAATGGTGTAATTGTTTTCAGGTTAAACCGTGCCCTCAGCTGAGGGTGGGAGAGGCTGTGCTGATTTTTTATTTTTATTTTTTGCTCTGTTTGCCTATTTTCTCCTTGTCTGTGCCATGGCTTTGATTGTTTTGGCTGCATGCCTGGAGGAAAGCAGATTCCTGGTTGGCCTCCACTGAAAGCACATGGAGATGCTCATTAAGCGCACACTCAGACTCGCAGGGAGAATTTTCACGAGGCTTATAAATCTAACTTTGTATGCAGAGGGGAAGCACAGGAAGGCAGTGATTTAGTCAGAAAGTGGGTATGTGAGGTCATGCTCAGGTTTAGGGCTGATCTTACCCAGATCAGCATGTGTTAGGAAGGACTGATGAGGCTTGAGTGAGAGCCAAATATTCAGTGTTTTAAAATATGCAAATCCCCTTCTTTCCTGTTCCAGTCCTGCTTCTCTTCACATTTTATCGTTCGGGTGCAGTCTGAGCAACGCCGCTGCTTTTTAGACATCTCAGTTTGAAACTAGAGATGATGAAGTGACGTGCTAATGAATCAAAGTTAAAATAATAGACGATAAAGAGAGAATGGATATAACAACAGGAAGCACACATCATGTCATAAGAAAAACACTTTGAAAAGGGCATGGATGCATGTTTGAAGCTTTAATATCAGATGAGACAAGCCGCCTGGTGATGTTGAGGGATTTGACTAGTGAATGTTTCCAAGATGAAGGGGTTTTCTAGACTACATTTGAACAGGGAATGCAAGTAAACCTTAATGTAAGTGGGTAGTAGTGAGACTATGTTTAAGAGAGGTAGTTTTATGCAAATACTAAAACTCGAAAGCATAGTTCCCACAAATGATTGGGGTGGCTGGTTTACATGTGGAAGTGGTCATGACATGGCAGCCTAATTTTCAATAGTCCTTTCTAACACATAGATGTAGCCACACGCCAAAATGGAAGTTGAGACCTCGCTTGTTTTTCAAGTTATCATGTGCACAAGATGAACTGGACGGATGAACTGGGGGTCCACTCTTCGCTCTGCAACGTGGGACAAAATATTATTGTTGGATATTACCGTAATTTCCAGACTATAAGCCGCTACTTTTTTTCACACACTGAACACCGTGGTTTGTACAATGCTGTGGCTAATTTATGGATTTTTTTCTTTGACGGGCTAACAAAATTCATGCCACTAAAACATTTAGCCTCGTCACACCCGGGTGCTCACATAGCTGCCCAATACATGTCTCTCTTGGGGGGTTGGTGCTTGTAACTCAGTGAGACTACCTGTATAAATAAAGGTTAAAATAAAACAATCTGACCAATGAAATTACTGAACAGGTCACAGTTGACTAATGAATCTTTGCTCCCCCTCCCAGTTGTGCCCCGTCCCTGGGGGCACAACAAAGTATTTACAGCCACTCAACATAAGTGTGATTCGTGGCGGAGAGAAATCGTTTACCAAAACTGGCCACATGCGAAGAACAACTTTGGCTCAAGTCTGCCAGTGGATCTTGGCAGTGGAGCCGTGTAACAAACATCCTCTAATCAACGGGTTTCAGTGGCTGCAGCTTGATGAAGAGGACAGCACAAGATCAAGGGCGACTTTGCCTCGAGACGAAAGTGACGTTGAGAGCACTGTTCAAAAAAGAAAAGAAAAAACATGTACTGTACATATTTCTGTATGTTACCGGTACATATTTAATTAAAAGTTTAAAAAGTATTTCTGTATGAATATCTCATGTTACAACACCTGTGGCTTAAAGACAAGTGAGGCCTATATATGTACAAAATTATTTTCTTTTTAAAGTTTGTGGGTGTGGTTTATATTCAGGTGCGCTCTATAGTCTGTAAAGTACGGTATTATGCTTGGACTTTGTGCTGAGTCCCATTTACTGAATACTTTTAGGACTCCTTTTACTTTGAAACAACAGTAAGTGTTTAAATATGTTAACATACAAAACTTAAGTAATTTGACCTGCGTTAAATATCATTTTGGGGAGATCAACATTAATAGTGAGATAGAAACTCTGATTTTTCTTGTCTGAGATAAATCAGTTCTAATATCACTTTGTCACAGAAGTACTTCTAGAGTTTAGGTTTTTATTTTATTTCAGACTTTTATTTTATTTCTTTACAAGTATTAATACTGTAATATAAAAATATATGACTATAATATTGACGTTTTAAAAGGCATCAACATTTAATTATGGTGAAAATATCCTTATTGTTTTAAATGTCTTTAAAAAGGATCCAGCGCTACACTTCTGCCTCTTTTATTCTTCAGGGATTTGTGAAAATGTAGATTAGCCTCCCCTCTTCCCTCCATGCCGTTCAGACACTTTGTGTCAGCAGATAATCTCCAGTTGGAGCCACACAAATGACTTTATGGCAAACTCTCTCACTTTGCAAACATGAGCTGAGCTTTCAACTCAGTAGAAACTGTAACTCCTGCCTTCCTCTCCTGGCTGTGCTCGAGTCAGTGTTTGTTCAACATCAGGTAGTTTGAGCTCGGCTTTGTAAGCAGAGTGGGTAATAATCTGAGTGGTTTATGGATGAGGTGACACTCAGAAACGCAATTATTAAAAAAATAGCTTTTTAAAAAGGAACTAAATTGTTATAGAGACTATTATCATGAGTTGAACTAAAAAAAGGTGACACAGATAATCTAAATTCTCCATCTGGACACTTATGGTCTTACCTGCAGCAGATACAAGTCAGCATTTGCTCTCTTGGTAGAATTAAGTAAGATTATAACTAATTTAAATCATATTTAGACTAGGGCTCCAGAAGAATATAATTTTCCATTTTAAACAAATCAAACAATAAAATAAAATGTTTTTCTTGCATTGTATAAATTTACACACTACACGAACCTTGGATTTTGTTGAAATA